CTTCGTTTGAAGTGTTTCTGAAGCATGTGAAATGGAAAGCTCTGAGGATCCGTTCTCTTTGTGTTTGTTGTCTCTGGAAATCTTTTCTTACTTTTTCCTGACTAAATAATCACTGCAGCATGAGACACAGTCATGTTTTGTTTTGAAGACTTAGCTGGGGAAGTGACAGATTTTTGTTTCTGTTCTCTTTTTTTTAAAAAAACATAAGGTTAAGAAAGGAAGGATGGGTGACTTCCCCCTGAGGTTACTGAATGTTTCTTCTCTCTGTGAGTTATTAAATTACTCCTTTCTGTGTGTTACAGTTGTGCTGTTTGGTCTCAAGCTTGGTCAACACATGGTCAGATCACACACAGGCACATACTGTTTAACCTCGCGAGCATCTTGTAATTATAGTTACATTTCTGCTCATTCTAACTTAAACACATTCACAGGATCTCTGTTGGCAAACTGATCACTGGTCTGTGGCCCTAAACCGAAACAAAACTCATTTCGAGACCGTCAAAGATGTTCCCATTAAAGTTTAAATGACCTGATCATATGTGAAAAAGCACACACTAAACCATGTTCTGGTTCAGCGTATGGCTTCATTTTCCTGTAGTTTTTAACAGTTGGTGAGGTGGAATCTCTTAACTCCAGCTCTATGTGTTAACACTAAGGAGCTATGATGTTGATTACAGCTAAGAACAGCCCCTTTGTTCTCGTTTTGTGCCGTTTTACACGTAGCGTGACATGAATCGTGGATGGTTTATCTCTCAGGCTCATAAAATGTTACTGAGAGCCACTCCGATCCCCTCAAAGGGTTTTAACCCAAACAGAAACAGAAGGTCAGAGTATACGCACTCACCCACAGTTTATGCTGTTTTTCTTCCTGTTTTTTATCTGATGTGTCTCAACCAAATTCCCGTTAATATTGAAATTACTGCGGCTATATCCTCTTTATGTTTTCACAAGAAGCCAATACACTATCGAGAGACCGAATATATCAAACTAATAATAATAATAATAATGGATTGGATTTATATAGCGCTTTTCAAGGCACCCAAAGCGCTTTACAATTCCACTATTCATTCACTCTCGCACTCACACACTGGTGGAAGCAAGCTACGGTTGTAGCCACAGCTGCCCTGGGGCTAATAAATAAATGTGTATCTAATAAATAGATAGAGGCTACAAAATACAAGAGTTAGGACGTGATTTTACACCCATCCATCCATCTTCTGCTGGTTCTTACTTTGAGTGTGTTTTTCTTTCTTAAGTTTGACATTGCTTAAATTTCTGTCTGTTTATTTTCAAGTTAAAAATAAACTTCTGCAGAAGCGAGCACACGGAGGGATTTTAGTGGTTTTGGATCCAAGTCACTGTGGAGGAATGACAGACGCTGTACGTGTTCTGACACCCTCTGCTGGTCATTTATTAACATTAAAAAAAAAAGAAAAGCCTCTGAGGGGAAATGGCTGTTTATCTTAAGCTAGTGAGTATGAATAGATCTCTTTATAAAGACTTTTTCTTATGAATAAATAAAGAGGAAAAACAGAATAAAAAGGTTATAAACATGTCTGTTGGATTTGTATTACAACAGGAAGTAAGTGAAGCAGCCGCATTTCAACAGACTGTCATTTACTTTAACGGTGTGACTTTATGTGCAAATAAAAGCAATAAAATCATTTTGTTAAAGCGTTTAAATTGCCAGTTTTGGCAGCACAGGATTGGACTGCCAGGGCCTCCACCTCTGACCACCGGTCAATGAATGATGGCCCAAGTCCCCCTGCTGGTACAGGCCACACAGGAAGGCAGGCCCATGTGGTTCTTTGGGGCTGGATGGGGCCACAGGAACTCCATCCTTATAAACAAATTCACTGTCCAGGTCCTACCTACTGAACTTTGTTTCAAAGTCTGGTCATTTCAAACAAAGCCTGTAATTTTCTCATAAATACTGATGAACGTCTTTGATGTCATAGTGTGGTTGTGAGAAATTTTACAAAGTGTTAGCAATAAAACCAACAGCCACTCTAGTGTAAAAGTTATGATGGCGTACATTTATTTGAACACGTCTCCTTTCTTGGAGCACTCTTTTCAATCTTCTCCTTACTTTTTATAAAGCAGAGAGAAAATAAATCAAGTTTAATACACATGAAACACAAAATGACTCGATGTTTAAAGAGATTCTTGTACTGTCGTCAGATCAGAATCAAGCTTTTTCCCCTCATGTTCTTTGTGGTTTAATCAGCAAAATAAGCTGATCAGCTTCACTGATGTGGTAAAAGAGTAATTTCTCTTCCACTGTCCTCAGCACCGACTCCACGTGACTGCACAGCATCTCTTTCCTGTCACACCTGAGTCAGCCACATTGAAGCAGTGCTTCTATCTGAATGAAAAAAAGCCTAAAATAGATCTCACTTTATCAGTCCACTCTCCTGTTCTCTGTCTGTCTGCTCAGAATCACTCTTCTTCTTTTTCTCGGCCTCCTCTTCCGCTTGTTTCCTCTTCTCCTCCTCTTTCTCCAGCTCTTCCTGCTCTTTGGCATCGGCCTCCTTTAGTTTCTCCTCCACATCCTGAGGGATTTCTACCTCCATCAGGTTCTCCATGCCCTCCTCCGGCTCATCTCCGATCAGCACCTGGGTGAGTTAAGATGCAGTCGCATTACACCTTCACATTCGAGGCCCCCCTTTACTTACATGACATGAATAAAGAAAAGCACATCACTGACTTCCTGCTTTGAAACAACACAGGAACAAGAATAGAATAGGTTTGGTTTTCATTCATAAGTCCAAAACTATAATTAATAAATGTTTACTATTACATTTTTACTGACTTTTAGTTCAACACAGCCAGGGTTGACATGTATCACAACGGTGACTATTAGCTGTATTTATTAAGCCAAATTTTCCATTTCAGGCTCCGAGCATGTTGAAATAAAAATGGGCAATTCACAGCTCATCCTTCCACACAAAATGATCCCTATGAGTGTCATCTACTCCAATCAAATGATGATAAAATGCAGATTAAAAGTCTATAAAGAACATAAATAATATAAGTAAAATCAGCACTCTCACAAAAGAGACAAAAGGTTACCGTCTCGTAGGCTAATAAAGATCAAAGCATATCAGTTGTGTTGACTGGACAGCTATTCTTAGTGTGTTAGTCGCAGCAGATTAGAATCACGAATGACAACATTTATACATTTTCTGCATTAATATATGCAAATTCCTGTGACACACACACACACACACACATTCAGTTGTGTTAGTAAGGTACGGCTTAATAAGCTGCATATATAAAACATATTTCACCAGCAGAGAATCAATATTATACCTTAAATATGCTGTAAATATATCACTCAGTGAGAGTATGTCGCTTCAAGATGATTTTTAACTAAAACCCTGATCATAAACGGCTCCCAACAGGGTTTGTGTTCAGCACAAGTTACCGTGGTTATTTAGGTAAAAAGAGAGCCACCTTTGTGACATAGGACACCCCAACTTTAAGCCCACTTTAATCTTGCTTCACAGTGTGCCCCTCAGGTGTTAGTTTTCCAGTTTAGACAATAACCAAACATCTAGATCTTTCCTACCTGGACCAGTTTCTCACAGGCCGCTGTAACGTGGGCGTCCTTCTCCCAGCGGTGGAACTCTCTCATGATTGGATAAACATTCTTCTCTTTCAGCGTCTGCCGGCCGGCTTTAGTTGCAGTCAGCTACATAGAGAGACAAGCAGTGAGGAGCTTGACATAAAAACATAATTATCTAATCTGTGTGCGTGTGTTTGTTTCTGAATGTTTGTGGTTTTGTACCAGTAAGAGCGTTTCCAGGAGCATCTTTCGGATGTCTGGGTCTTCCTCTCGCTTCTTGTCCTCGGGGAGGTACTGCAGGTCGACAGGCAGGCCTGGACCGTAAATTAGGTTCTGTTAGAGTCTCAACCAGCAGTAAATGGATTTAATAAAATAATAGTCTCTTAGTCCTTCTTTCTCAATATTATATGATGCTGTCTGTGGCTCTCAGCTCATCTATTCCCAGACTCTAATCATATTTGAGGGGTTAAACCATCATGACAATCTCACTGATGCAGGGATTATGCACGGCTGAGAATGCAGAAAGTTGCAGACACCAAGGATAAGTAGTGCTATTTATTAAGTCCACTTCAAGATACACGGTGCATTGTTATGTCTCTTCACAGGATGGCACACAGCAGATGCCCACACAAAAAAAAAATTCACATCCCATAGACCCAAGGGCACCCTAGAATATTCACGGTATGTAAACTGTAAAACTTTTACCTTTCATGTCTCTGGGTCATCCTTCCAACAACTTCTCAGTGTCCCTCTGTCTCTCCCAAAAACCACTCATTTATCATTTTAGTCAAGTCTAAGCACTGCATGGTGAAGTCCTGTTGAACAGTTCCAATTTATTTAGAGCCATCTGGATGTTAGAGTCTTTTTTTCATCAGCATGTGTGGAGCTGGTTTCAGACCAGAAACCAGCTCTGAAGCTGCTGTGTGGTATTTTGCACCAGTGTGTTAGCACTGTGTTGAGTGTTGAGCTGCAGCAGAAGCTCAAACCCAGTAATCAGGTTATAACAACAATGGCAACAAAAATATCAAACCTGTGCCACTAGCCGATAAACAACATTGGCAACTTCATGAGTGAGTGATTTTCACATTTTGGCTATTAAATTAATTAAACATCTTGTCACAGTCATATCAATCTCACGTCATGTTTTTGGTAGCGTCTCTT